AGGCAACGTATGTACAGAGGAAGCCATGGCCTTATCTCTTCTTTATGCCTTCACACCTCTTAAGAGTGCACTCCCTCCCCTCTCCCTTGCACACGCACAGACCTGGTCTGCCTGTAAAACAGGAACTAGAAGACAAGAATGAGGCTGACAAGGGAGCTGCCTCTTCCTCTTCCTCATGAGCCTCCTCAGAGCCCGCAGAGATGGATGAGCTGCTTCTGCTGCAGGAGGAGCAGCTGCCAGGGCTTGCTTCACAGGAGGCTTTTGGAGACCTGTAACCTACCTACCTCTGAGACAAGTCAAATGTGCTGTCCTCCAACCCCTGTTTTCTAATATCTCCCTCGTTACATGGAGTAGAACATCATATATGTACTATCCGATAAACAAGGTAATCAAGAATAATCTCACAGTCATGATTGCAATACAAATAACTGACTGAAGCTCACAGAAGACAGGAAATTGAGAGTGACTGTAAATATCGACAGAAAATTAACTCCTGTGGAGTTGCACAATTAGAAGCTTGGGCAGATATAGACTCAACTTCCAAAAATCATGGCTGCAGTTAGTAAGAAATCTAATACTTTGTGAGTGGGTGAGGGCCAGAGGCCAAAACAGCCCCAGCTGGAGTCCAAGTAGAATAAAAATCAGTAAATGAGATTATTTGCTTCATTTTGGCAATGAAAAACATTTGGGACTGCTTACTTTGCGGGGGATGGACAACAGGGACAGAAATATTTCATCTTGGTGTGGAGTGATTGCACTGTTATTCTGATTTTATACTCAAACTCAAAATGGCAATACTGAGAAAAATAAGATAGATGAATGTATTGTTGGATTTTTCACACTTACCACTTCCTCCAAGTACTACACCCTCAGCACAGAAATTCAAGTGGGACCAAGTCTGGGGAGGACTGGAGATGTCTGTTGCACCAGAGCAGAGTAGAAGTGAGAACTAGGCTACAGCTTTAGGAGTACTTAGGACACCTTGAGTGGGTGTCTGCAGATAAATGGCTGTAGCAGCATCATTCATGTATATTTTAATTTGAAATGCACTGAGCAAATGCCAATGCTGCTGGCACTGCTCACCTTGGTAGTCCTGGTACAGAAGTCTGGTCATGCAATGCGGGTGGGAGTTTCAGAGCTGGAACTTGAACCATCCAGTTTTTGGAGCATCCATCAAACTTGCCTTCTGGCTCATCATGCTCACAACTATTCAAGTGTACGTGTTTTGTACACTCACGGTGGTGTCCCATCACGAGCTGAGCATCCATTTGTCAGCGAAATGCAATTAATGGTATAGGAACACAGTGGACTTACGTGCGGGTTCTGAAAAAAGATTTACATTCCATGCTGATTCAAAGGCAGGTGCGGAGCAAACTCCATGCACTGCATCTACACTGGCAGGCTACGTACGAGTTATTTAGGGCTGCTCAAGGAAGCGTAAGAAGTTATGGAAAGAAATAATACATAGGAAAATATAGTGATAATACTGCAGTATGCTGCAATGATTCCACAAGTCATTGGGACATTGTATAAAGCACATTTTGGAGAAAAGAAACACACCAGTAAACAAACCAGAGAACGTTTTACTTTAATCGGTACATGAGCTTTGTAGATTTAAAGTTTTCAAGATGTTTCCCTTGTTACCTTGGGGGGTCAAGTCTTCCTCGATGAAAGTGGAGGTGTTTTAATGCTTTAAGTGGAAATTCTAGGTACCGGGGGAGTCCCTCGTACACGCGGGATCTGGCCGGATCCCCGCCAGTGCGGGAGGGCGGCGGCTGTCCCCGCGGGTCCGTGGGCGCTGCCCCGACTCAGCCCCCGGTGCAGGGTCACCGCCCGTGCCGCTGCAGCACGAGTGGGGGCGGGGGGGCCTGGCGGAGCTCCGCGTGGCCGCGGGACAGTGAGGAAGGTATCAGCAAGGCTTCAAAAAGCCTGCAGGATGCTAGGCGAGGGGCTAGCTGACCGGGCCCGCCCGCCCCCGCGCCGAGCAGCCGGCCGCGCCGTGGGCCCGGGACCCCACGTCCCGCAGGGGCGGGATCGGCGCTTCGCCACAACCCGCTCCCGGGTGGCCCCGCAGGGAGGGCACCGGGGGGGCCGCCCCGGGGCTCCTGGACCCGGACGCCGGGTTCCCCGCGGCCCCGGCCGCTGCCCCCACCCCCTCGGCCTCCCGCCTTCCCCTCCCCTTCCCCTCCCGGTCCCTCCTCCCCGCCGGCGCCGGCCGTGCCCGCCTCGCTCCCCGCCCCGGCTGAGGGGCGGCTGCCGCTGCTTCTGCCGCTGCCGGCGGCGGCTCCGGGAAAATGTCCGAGCGCGGCGGCTTCTACCGGCAGGAGCTAAACAAGACCGTGTGGGAGGTGCCCCAGCGCTACCAGAACCTCACCCCCGTCGGCTCCGGCGCCTACGGCTCCGTCTGGTAGGTGCGGGGCGGCGGGAGAGGGGGCCGGGAGGCGGCAGGTGCTGCGGGGGGGGGGCGGGGTGCCGCCCCGCAGGAGCAACCGGTGCTGGGGGAGGGCCCCCCCCCCCCACACCCGCCGCGTCCATCCCCGCGCGGCAGTACCGAGTGTGCCTGGGCCGTGGGTGTGGGGTGGTGCCCGCCCCACAGCGCGCCGGGGCGGGGGCGTGTCCGCCGGGGTGTGCGGCGCTGGAGCCGGAGCTGGAGCTCTCCCCGCAGTCCCCGTCCCCTCCCCGGCCCGGCCGGCCCCGCGGCCCCGCGGCATACCTCGCCGTAACCCGGGTAACCGGGCCCGCCGCCGCCGGAGGGCGGCCCCCGCCGGCCTTCCCGCCTCAGGCCGGCCCGCAGGGCAGGTGTGAGGGTGCCGCCGCCGCCGCCCGTCGGTTGCCGCTGCAGCCGCCGGGGGGGAAAAATTGCCCCGTAAGCCGCGAATCTTGCACAGTCATGGCGTGGCGGGGGGGGCGGGGGTGGGCTGACCGGCGGGCCGGGCTGTGGCGGGGAGCGGGCCGGCCCCCGCGGGCACCGGGAGGGTGGATTCTGTCCTTGGAAACAATGGAGGAGCCCGCAGGGCCGGGGCCGAGCAGGGCAGGGCAGAGGAGAGGGGGGGAACCCGGCCATCTCGGGGGGAGTCGCAAATCAGGGCAGCCTGCCGCCCGAGGGCTTTGGCGCCTTAGGGTTGCGTAAGGGTTTATCACCTCTTATCATAAAGCGTTTCCTTTCCCTTCTTCGGTGACTACTGTATGAGGTTTGCGTTTTCGGGAGCTCCCAGTACAGATTGGGCTATTATTTTTTGTATCTGATGCACGCTTACCTATGCTTATAAAAGCTTTGAATCAATTTTTGGAGATAATAGCGATGTTTAAGGGGTTTCTGAAAAAGAATCGTGTTTCTTTTGTAAGCTAGGTAAGTGGAACTATGTAAAAACAATCCATAATGGGCCTTTAAATAAATATACTGCACAAAAAAAGATTTGTTCAGAACTTAACTTTTTGCCACGGACTGAACTTGTGCAATAGTCCCTCGCGTTTTTCTCTTCAGTCGGATGCCAGAGAACATTTATGGAGTTTTGTGTTTGTTGCTTCCTTCTCTAGTTTTGTGAAACGCTCCAGTTGCATGTAAACTAGGAATATGCATTTTAAAAACCTCCAACAATCAGCAGAAATACTGAGGACTAGTGTGAAGCATCTCTGAATTCTTCTCTTTTTCATTATTTCAGGCTTATGCCTGCACTGCAGAAGTCTAGGCAAATACTGTGTGACTGTGGGACCTGTCATTGCAGTTAAGCGTATAGCCCTGTGACTGCCTGATGTGAATGGTTTCACAAGAACCTAATTTATTTAGACTCTAAAATCTTCATCTACTTTCTTCTCTTTTATTTTACAAACCAGGAGCTGGATATACAGTAGGAGAGTAACTATTGTGTTACAATTGAACCTGCATTTCTGGTTATTTTCCCTATTTATGTTGACATAGTTTTCTGGGTAAGACCTACTTTGTTGAATTTTGTAACGAGATGTCAAGACTTTTGAGAAATTGCGAAGGAAATGAAAACTTGTGGTGGTTCACTTGCAGCACAGCTGGTGTTTTGTTTTTTTTAAACCGTTAGTGCTGTTAATTTATTGTACTTACTACTTTTCTGTATGCAAAGCCAAGAAAATCCTCATATTTTATCAATGGAAAAGTCTAGGAACTGGACTATAAAATGGAGACTGGAAGATGTTATGGGAAAGGTTTACTCTGAAATAGACATTTAAGAACAGAATACAGCAATAAAATAGTACTCTATATTAATAGCCTTGTTAACATCGATGAACTATAAACCCAAACAGAAGCTTGAATGTGAGGAAAAGGATTGCATCTCTCAGAAAAGCCATCTATTTTTAGCGTCTATTGAAATTGATTTTTTTTCCCTCTGTATGTGCATGTGCTTTACCCAGGAGACCCACAAGACACAATCATTCCCTTGAGTAATATGCTATATTACTTTTGTGAGTAACTGTACTCTGATTCAGTAAAATATCTAAAAACATATTTAAGTCTTACAGAAACCACTGAAATTGAACAAATTCCTAAGTGGTTGGCTGAATAGAAGCCAAGGTCCTGAACTTCAAACACCAGCTTTAAAACAGGAACAAAGTTGTAACAAATCTTCTTCTACCTCAGTGAAACTCTTCTCCAGTCCTACCCTTTCCTTTTTAACAGTAAATTAGCAGTCACATCTGATAGACTTGTGCAACTGAAGTGATAACTAGTAATAAGAAACATACTGTATATATTTGCATTTAAGCTAACTTCTGCTTGCCCTTTCTTTGCTTGCAGCTCAAAATCAATAGAAGAGTTTGTGTCAAGAGGCTGTGTTTTGGCCCAATTTATTGACATATCGTAAGTCTAATAGAATTCGTGTTTGGGTTAGTTTTTATATGCAGTTGCATCAAATATGCTATGGAGATAGATACTACTGTTTGAAAACAGATTGCTTTTTCGAGAGGTATCTGTATCAAGCATAGTGCTTTCCAGTATGTTTTTCATGGTTTTTTTCTTTAGATGTGGAATATGTATAAAAAGCAAACCTTAGCATAAAGAGCTCTACTGCTTGTTTCACTTTTTAAATGACACATCGTAAAGAACAGTCCTTCCTGGAAATCCTCAGAACTCAACCACACTGCCAAGCAGAGTTGCACTTCAGCATCTACATGAACCACAGAGAGAGCTGTGAGGTCTTCCCTTCAAGTACTTCATCCTTACAGTACATTTTGTGTTACTCTTGTATTTGGACTCTGCAGCGGGTTTCCTTTTACCTGGGCTCTTTCCTATGGCCATTCAAGCTGGTGGGTGTTCTGTCATTTGCTGATTTGAGATCTGGTTTTTGTTTGTTTGTTTGTTTGTTTTTTAATTTAGGAAAAAAAAATAAAGTCGTGGTGTGTGTATGGCAGTTTAATTACATTTAAAATTATCAATGGAGTCTTCAATAGTACATTTTGGTTAATTTTTCTTTTTTCAGGGATTGTTTGTGTATTGGCAAATACCAAATTTACATGAACAACTGTTTCTTTTGGAGTTGTTTTCTTTTTGTGCTATAGCTTTGCTTATCAAGCTGAGGTTTTTTTATATTAAATTATTTTAACTCTTCCTCAAGCCAAAACTCAGTTAAATTGAAAGTTTTTTTGAAAAATGCATGTTCACCATGTCCACCCACAAAGTTGGATTTATCTTTCACAGAAGTCAAAGAGCTGGTTGACTCTTATAGACCAGGCACTATTCCTGCTACTTGTGAGCTTTAAAAACATTTCTGTTTTGAAGTGCAGCATTTAAGCTGATAGCTATTTAGATGGGAAGTAAGCAAGCTTACTTTCACAAGGTAATCTTCACCTACAACTGCTTCATTTCAGTTCTAGAGAAAAGAGACAATTCATGTCTTGGGTTCAACTGCATTTTAAACTCTCGTCTCTTGTGACTCTGCCTTTTAAATAAGAATTCTGGCTGTGTTTGAGTCTTTTAACTGTCCCAGTGATACTGCTTATAAACTGGTCTTCTGGCCTGCAGCATCTCTGCCTCCCTGCTGTATTACCCTGGTAGGTCCACTGTGGTTTGGTACCTGTCAGCCTTTTCCTCTGGGAGCTGGTGTTACCACCTGCTTGAGAAAAAGCTTCATCTTCTCTGGTTTGTTTTGTTTTTTTAAATGACATTTTATTATACCACAAATTATGTAATGTGGATAGATTTTTTTTGTTGTTGTTGTTTACTGGTTTTTTCTCTTCTTTTTTCTTTTTTTTTTTTTTTAAAGCCTGTATGCTGCTTCGTGACAGCTTTTTTAAACTGTCTTCCAACCTACTTAGACCTATTTTTGCCTCGGAGGTATAGACAGCCTTCTGCAGCGTGCTCTCTCTGATCTCTCCCAACAGGTTGTTTCCCATTAGCATGTTGCAAGCTCTGTGTTCTGCCTTCTTTGGAAAGAACAGACCTCGGAACCAAAGTGAGACCAGAGCTGCTTCTTCCCAACCAGAAACTCCTGCACTGTTTCCTCAGAGGCCATTGGCACCAATAGTACTTACATCATGGAGTCAGTCTCTCTTAATTTCAAGAGCATGCAACGCCTAACACCAGCTTGGGTGACTTAACATAGTTTTAAAGAGGCCTGCTAAGTCAGAGCATAATGGCACAGGCCTCAGTTCCAGAAAATTGGAAAGCACAGCCTGCCGTAAGTCATCTACACAATGCAACACCTCAGCAGGTCCTTCTGGCCTGATAACTTTTAAGTGCTTGCTTAAGATCCATTAAGATTTTGTCCTAGCTAATTTTGGGTAAAAATGGGAGAAAGTAGGGTACTGTTTAGGCTTCTGTTTTGCTTTGAGGAAGTACAAGTGGAAAAATAGAATCAGAAGGCTTTAATCCTGAACTTTAACCCTTTCTTTGCCCCATCCACTCTATCCTGTGCTTCTGGTTGGATTGTCACTCAAGTGTTTTGAGGGCAGTAGCTTGCAAGACTGAAACATAACATTGCTGATACTGTCCTTTTCACATTGAGGAGCTCTAAGGAGATGCTGAGACAACTCAGTAGCATGTGAGGTTTTTTAAAAGCTGATATAAATTGTCTTTGACTGACAAAGAGAAAATTTCCTTAATCCGAGATTGTACTTGATGACTTCTGGGTGGTTTTTTTAAAGGGACCTTTTACTTAGCTGTAGTGATACTAAGTATACAATTTCAACTATGGGATCAAGTTTCTGGAGTTACCATATGTGTCAGTGTAACATTACATGCTAGTTTATATAGCAAATGCTGAGATAAATTTTTAGAGTAGTAGTAACACGCACCTGCCGTATGTAAATACAGCTGGAAACCAAAGACCGTATAGATCTCTAACAGGTTGAAGGCAGAATCCCAAGCACATGTAGAGTCAGTTGATTTCAGTGGACTCCCTCTGGGCTGCTGTTCTTTTGGATCAGGTCTTTTGTTTCCAGTGCAAATATGCAGGCTGAACTTCATCCTACATATGTTTATGGTTATATTTTACTGGAAACATTTCAGACAATGTTGTTAGAATACTGCTGTCCAAGATCTGTTAGCTGTTGTCTATTTTTGGTATGCATCATTCAGAAGGAAAGTTTTGAAGCCTTTCAGTAGCTTTAAAGATATTTACAGTGAGCTCTTCTGAGCTTATTCAAACACTGTCTTGAAAACTGAATGAGAGATGAAGGCTGATAAGAAAGTCCAGTCAGAGGCAGGACACCTCTTAAGAGTGAGTATATGTAATAATGATACTTAGAAACAAGCCCTTGAAGTTGAGGTTGCAGTAGGGAGAACTAAGTAAAAGGAATTGCATGATCAACATTTACAGGTTAGGAGGAGGATCTTTGCAGCAGCATTGTTAGGATGGATGGTTGAAAATCAGTAAAGCAACAAAAAGTGTTGCAGAGTGAGAAGGACCCTCAGAGGAACAAGAAGAAATCGCTGTTAGGAATGAAGACACGATGGGGTTTGCAGCTACAAAACTAAGGGATGTCAAGAATTCAAGAAGTTTTGTGGAAGATATATGAAGGAAGATGGAGCACTGGCCTATTCCTTTGTCCGGTTTCATCCTGCGTATTTTCCAGCTGTTGGAACAGTGTAGTTACTGACTTTGGAAAGGAGAGGGAAGTGCGATGGTAATTAGCAGAGTCAAAGTTCCTATTTTAAATGAGAATGTCTAAGAATGCTTTTAATGAAGGAGACTGAATGGGGAAGGAGGTGTTTGTAGAGAAGGATGAGAAGGGCTGAGAATGGCTGTCATGGATATATCTGTGTAGGATGCTGCCAGTAAGCCTGTGGAGTAGTTTGGGAGCAGATGAGAAACATCTGTATGTGTGTGAGGAGGGTAGTAGAGGGAGTTGTTGGAAGGGTGAAGGAAAGGCAAGCTCAAGAAGTGGGAAAGGCCACTTTGTATTGTGCAGGCTTTCTTTCAGGAGGAATTAATGAGATCTTTTTGAGAGAGAGATGGCATGGGATGGAAGAGATGAGAGGCATGAGATGAGACAATTGTGGCAGAAAGTCAGCAAGGATCATGGAATTCCAGCCTTTTCTGTGGCTGTAGGAATACATTGGAATAAAATCCTCTGCAGAGGGTCTCCTCCATCCCTACTTGAATATGGTTTGTTAGAATATGCACCTTCCTGACCACATGATGCAGCAGTCACATAGCTAACTGCTCTCCTGCCATCGGTCATGATTGTGATTGCAATTGGCTAAGGGACACAGTCTCTGTTCCAAAGCTCTTGCAGTCTTAGGTCCTGGTTGCTTCAAAACAGCTTCCCAAGGAGCAATTTCAGTGTGCAATTTCAGAACCTACTAGCTAGTTGATATAAAAAATCCAGTATCTTAGTTCTGTGGATACAATCAGGAAGAGAGAGGGCTTTTCCCAAGTCATGTAGGGGTTTTGAACAAATTGCTACCGTTTAATATTTTGGCTGTTGTAAGAGAGAGAAAACGGGAAACATGAAGGAGAAGCGTGGGAAGAATAGGAAAAACGAGGACAAGAGTGTAACTGAGATTTTGTCTGTTTAGGTTTATGTAATGCATCTGAAAGCACTGATAGTTTTCATGTTAAACTTTAAATCCAGATTAACTATGAGCATTTCTAGCTGCAGCTTCAAAGCTCACAATTTATAACTACCTATCAGTCTTTTTTTTAATGAAATGCTGAATAGAACACATTTGTCATGAGCAGTGTACTGGCTTAGTGGCAGCTGACAGATTTCCTTGTTTACATACTGACATTGGGCTTATAGGCTATCTAAAATGCATTATTATTTTGATGTTCATGAGTTGGTTACATGTGCTGAGGAAGCTAACAGCTTATGACCTCAACCTTCTGTATGTTTTTCTCACAAGCATGCTTTTAAATGCATTCACTCCCACTGATATAAGATGTACTGTCTATAACTTCACCTAGAAAAGTGTGACTGCTCCTCTGTGAAGTTATTTTAATATTTAAGCCACTGTGGAGACTTATAAGAGACAGATCAGAAAATAAAAAATAGCTTGTGGATTCAGAGGCTGATAGAGCATTTTTATGATCATGCTGTTGTGTTGAAAGAAGACTGGTGAGGTATTCACGTAAAGGTGGGTAGCAATTATTTTTTAGTATTTTTTAGTGTCTGCTTAAAAATATGTACAAATTTTTATGTTGATTATGGAACAATTATGTTGCATATATAAGAGATATTTTCTGCTTTTATATTTAGATTTAGTGGTAAATTAATCTGAGATAATTGACAGTGATTGTACTAAAGCCAAAACAATTGATGCTAGTGCTCAGCTTGGTGTGTTGGAATAATATCCAAGTGATAGTATGTAATTTTACAATATAATAACCTGTCATTATCAAGCAAGGGTTTTTTTCTCTAATTATGAGATGAACATTTCAGAGCTGCCCATTAGTCATCCTCCCACCTTTTGTCTTGCTGCCATCTCATTTTTCTTTATGGTTTCCTTCTGATGCTCATATATGTCATGATTTTTGTGGTTTAGTAAACAAACACACATTCTCTACTTTAAATCTAGCTCTTAGCTGGTGGAAATCACCAACTTGAACTTTCATAAAGTAACAAAACATTTATAAAGAAGAAACAAATGAACCATTTCCTGGGTTTACTTTGCTGCTTTACTTAAGCTTCCTGTGGGTGGCCTTTTTCTGTTGTTCTCTTGCTGCACTGCCAATAGCTATTATGGTCCATTTGGATAGATGCTGTGTGTGCTTTTTTCAAGACTATTCTGTATGTCAATAAAAAGTAGCTCTATATAAAAAAAAAAAAAAAAGTAGTTGTATTTTAAAAAATAGGAACAAGGGTCATGGAGAAGAGCCGGAAGACAAAGCTCCCAAACTAAACCTTGCAAACAAAAAACAAAATCCATGTTATTCGTAAGGGTTGTCATTCACTGCAGTTACGATGAACTCAGATTATATGACTGGGCACCAGAAAATGTCCCAGGGCAGGATTCCTCTCTGTCTTCCTTTTCTATCTTATTTGCTAATGAACAGTGCGGTGAGGGCTGCCTGCCTCAATTATTAGGTTCTCTGTCTGTTGGCCCGTCTTCCATTCCTTCCCCTGAATGTCTGCTCACATAAACCCCTTCTGCTGCTGTTACTTGTTTTTCTTGGGAATTCAGGATTTTACAAGTGAAGGGGACATTTGTCCACGAGAAGGCTCATGTCTCCTGTAATGGAAATAGTCACTGGGTACGTGGAAGGATGGTAAGGTCTGCAGATAAGAGCTCAATGCTGTGGCAATACTAAAAACATGGCAGAAATTCTGTATGCTTTCCTTTTTTGCTTTTCTGGATTTTTTTTTTCCTGGCCAAAATCAGTAAAGTTCTGTCCACGTGAAGCTGTGTTTTGAGCACAAATTGCATTTTTCCTTTGTTTTTAATCTTAACACTTAATAATTTTAACACTTAAATGTAACGGGGAATCTTCATGTGTTCTGGAGGAATGCAACCCAGTGAAGGAAATAAATGTGTCGTGCTGCAGTGAAAGAAATAAAAATAGAAGCTTAGAACAATATAGGGAAAACCCCGACCCAGTTTCATTGTCACATGGAGCAAATTTAAGGATCTGCTTGTGCACAGCATTCTCTCCAAGTCTGGTAGTGTGTCTAACCAGTAGTCAAACTTCTAATGATGTAAGGGTAACAGCCTTGCAAACTGGGACACTGAATTATATAAAATAAATTGGAAAAGTTAGACTTCTCTGTATTTTTTGCACTTAACCCCAATGGGATCACTTAGAATAAGTATACCTATTTAGTTGTGTAGATGTAATGCTTCCACAAGCATAAAATCACACCTTGTAGACAACCAAAGCCTCCTGGTTCTCTTGGGTGGTGGGGATGGGGTAGTGGCTGACACAGGTAACCTACAGGAAACGGGGAGTTCACTGCAGATGCAAGAGTGGCACCATGTACAACCAGCTTGGGTTGTGCCTTCACTGTGCACCAGCTAGACCTACACTGGCTCCAGGAATGAAGAGAACTCACTAGACTGAACACTGCACTCAAGCTGAACTTTTTCCAGGCATTGTGAGTAGTACTGTGCCCAGCTAATTAACCCTCTCCAAGCCCAAAGCATTGGGAAGTTCAGGGACTGGCTGTAGTGCAAGGGGACCAGTTGATCCCAGGAAGAATTCTTCCTGCATTGGATACTGGAGTTTCTTAAATAGGATACAAGTTGGCTCCGTGCATGGTTTGTGAGACTGGACTCCTGCAAGCAGCCCTCCAGCTGTTAAAGCAAATTTGATCCTAAAGGCTAAGTAGCCATAGCTTCATCGTGTGCTCCTAATCCCAAAAGGCCTGAAGGGTCTGAGCAGGCTGCGCACACAAATGGCCTGTCTGTCCAGTATTACTGCTCTGCAACCACAGAGGATAAACTGTCCGTGGACACTAGAGAAATGGCTGCATGTGTGGCCATATTTGTAAACATCAGCTACTAAAAATCCATGCCCCATCAAAAGTCATGAAATTAGCATGAAGCTGTTAAAACCCTGTGCTTTCTGCCTCCTGAGGTTTTGGACTACATTAGCCTTCTGTGTTCAAACTTCTCTGTAAAACTTTAAGAACCGGGAAAATGTGCATATCAATAGATATTTTTATTTCATCTAGTGGAACTTCAATAGAATTATTAAATATAGGATTTGACAACACTGAAAAGGTAGGTCTAATTTAGCAGTGATTGAAAATCAAACTAAGCAAGTCTCTCATCTCTGTGAAAATAATGGCATCCGTGTAATAATAATGGCTTTTCATCCTTGATCTTGGAAGGGACAGATAAGAAAAAATGTGTCATAACTGAGAGGGTTCTGGGTCAAGAACAATCATAACTGGAAAAGCTCTTCCTAAGATTGTTACAAAGTTTTTTCTTGTAAATTAAAAAAGTAGTAATAATTGTATTTCTTTTTAAATTATGATAGCCTGTCTAAAGTGGTGTTCCTGTATTCTTTTGAGGCATGTGAGCATACTGTTTAATGATGATGTCAGAAACGCTCACTGATGATATGCAATTAAAAAGTCAGTTATTTTCACTATCTACAATAAATGAAATGCTAACAGTAAAGAATAGATTAGAGATGGGAGATGATATCCCTTTGCAAGTATCAAAGTTTATCTCCATCATACTGTTCTGTCCAGCTACATCAGATAACATCATAATCAGAGGTAAAACACCTCAGAATAAGTCATTTCAGTGAAACTCAGGAAACAGTAGTTAAACCATTGAAAGGATGATTTGTTTCCATGTGTGAGCATAAACCAGATATAAACACAAGTGGTTGGCTAAAGCCGAAACCTGTAGAAAACAACCTTGCAAAAGAAAAAGGAGCTGTAAGTTGCCAGCAGTTGTTTGTGGAGCGATGCAAACACCAAGAGACTGGCAGAGAGGCCCTCCCCAGCCGGTGCAGAGGTGGGGAGGGTGTGAGCTGTGCGTCATGCAGGGAGAGGGAAGGTGAGGGCCTCTAACTCTTTTTCTCCTCATTAAATCAAACTAGGTAACAGCATGGGTGGTTTGTTTTTTTAAGAATTCATTTTGAATCATTTTAGTTGGGCTGGTTACAGGCCTCCAGGGAAGGGTTTGCAGGTGCCAGACACAGGTGGGCCTGTACTTTTGCCATGACTGGGACCAGCGATGTCCTATCCGGGGGCTAGTCTGAAAGCTGAACATTCCTGGGGAAATCACGCAGAGAGGGAAGCAGCTCATCCTGCCACCTAGCAGAGTACTCGGGGGACAATGAGGAATTCAGGGGACAACCCAGATTGCAGCTATGATGATGTAATAGCAAGAGGGGGAGACCGAGTCTAAAATGAGAGGCCTAAGTGTACACAGGGAGGAATGCAGGCAGTGGCCTGCTGCTTGCAAGATGTGGTCACAGAGGCAGTAGCAGAGATCACAGATGCAAGTCATCCTTGAATGTGACAAACAAGAGAGCTCAAACAATGTGAAGTCTGTATTTTTGAATGCTTTACTGTTAATAACTTGAATTATGATGATGGTAAACCAGGCGAGGAAAGAGCCTGAAGGCATTGGCTCTGATTATAATTTGGTATAGTTTCTTGACTGCAGAGTAACTCATGTAAACCAAGTCAGTCCCTGACCTGTGCGGCTTCAATTCATGGTTTCCCACTGGAGGTCCCAGGACTCAAGTTATCATTTGTTTTCCTTCTTTTTTTCTCTCTCCTTATGTACTGGGTCTAAAAAGCTGCTGTCATAAGAACTACTGAAGCTGAAAAAATAGTGCTTTATACTATCTGGAAGTTTTGCAGCCCTGAGTCATATGGAGGGTAAAAAGCAATCTGTCTTAAAGATTCATGGTTTTTAAACCACTGAAACCCACATTTGACCTTAGAATTGGGAGAATAAGGATGTTTATCATGATAACGGGATTTAAAACCTAATTCTTCCTAGCCTTGTATAATGTACGTGGTATTTCACAAATCAGTACAAGCATGAGTGGGAAGGCTTGTGAATTACCAGAAGAGCTGAGATGTTAAGCACAGACTGCTGTTTTCGGCAATGTTATTTATTTGTCTGGATAAACATTTCCTTTTTCACTGGAAAAAAAGTTGGAAAGGATAGTGAAAGTATGTATTTGAGACTTGGCCGTGTTCTCATGTGGTTTCACTGGCCAGGATTACACAGAGCAATTATATCTAATCTTTGTTACATTAACCACTAAACATTGACTTCCTTTTTATTTCTTCAGATTTACTTGTGCAACCTTCATGCTGTCCCTGTGGCCAGTCATGTGGAATTTAAGATATCTCTGTTGTTAGTTCTCACACTGTTCATTCCTTGAGCAGCTTCACTTATTTGAGCAACACAGCGTCCTCATATCCTGAATAACTGTGTCCCTGCCCTACTGTCGGAACAAGTATCCCTGTCATAGCCCTTCCACCCACTTCTCAGAGTGATACCAGTCTTCTTCTTATGCTTTCTTTCTTCTGCTTGGGGAATGCCCCTCCTGAGGTGCTTAGCAAAGCCACGACCTTGTACACCTTTAAAACTTCCCTGAAGATCCACTTCTGTGGTGTTTGCATGAAACTAGCTAAGTAATCTTCTTATCTATTTTACTTATCTCATGACTGACTCGCTCCTTCCATGGTGCCTGCAAGAAACTTGTTGATTAAATCTACTTACTCGTTTTTTATCAAATAAAAGTGTTGTTGGATTATACCCTGCATTAGCCTTTGCAGAGTTTGGGTGAATTCTAGGATAACTGGATCATGATCACCTTTCGGATGCCACTCTTCTTACTGCCCATTTGTTGCCTGTATCCTTTATTGCTTCTCATTAGAAACAGCAACTTGTTCTCCAGCTGTCTGTAAATAAAGAGGTTTTGATCTTCACTTGGCTCTTCAAGAGCACCAAGAGCCCACCTACTTGGAGCTGATTATAGGCTTGGTGTAATAATTTGGGAGCTACTCCAGGCACAGTCAATGTTTTTGTCTCTAGCAGGTATCTCCTACCACTGTTTGCAGGAGTATCTAAAACACTGTTCATAAGGAGCTAATAGCATTTGGTGTGACTGTTGACTGTTGTCATCCTACTCCATGCATGTTTCGTGTTATCTAATTTTTGTGTTTGTAACTCTGAAAAAGTTCCATAACATAAATGTGTGTGAACGTTCTCATTTTGCTAATGTTCTCTAGCAAGCCTAGATAGTGTAATTCACACTTTAAGCCAAGAATTTAAATGTATTTTGACTGAACACAATTTTAACTTAATGGATAAGAGTAACAATTTAAAGAAAACTTTTTCTTCATAAGAGAAGG